GAGAAATAAAGACTTCATCAGGGAGTGCGGGACAGCAAAAGAGTTGTTTAGCCTGAATTCTGTCCATTTGCAGTCATGGATGATGCTGGAAGCACCTGAAAATGCAGGTTCTTGCTCATGCTCCAGGCCAGTGCAACTGGAGAGATTGAGAGATGTGTGGTTTGGGGTGACGAGGAAAGGTCATAGTGCAGGACATCCACCCCTCTTGAATAGCCAGCTGATGTAATACTAAAGCATTTTACTTCAGGGCACTTCGGCATTTCTACTGCCCTCAATTATATAATGAAGTATCATAACCTCCAATTTATTATTGAAATGGTCTTGATTATTAGATTTAATTCATTTCAGTGCATCAAGGAGTTGAAATTACTTCTTAAAGGTCTTCTTTATGTGGACAATTCCAGTTAATCTGAAGCTCAAACTTAACAAGATCTATAGTATCAGTCTTTTTTGTTCTACTCAAGTTTATTTGCTCAAGAAAAATATTCTTTCCTGTGCTGCACTTGGTCTAGAAGTGAATACAGTAATTTCTGCTGGCTTTAAGAAAATGAAAGAACTAGGATTTTCAAGATAAAATTTCAGACCTCTCTCTAGTATTGCATTCATAGTCCATGTATAGACAGTTTGCTGGATTAATCTGTCAGTACTAAATCTTTGACATAAACCAATCTATATTAAGCCATTTGCTAGGTTTTAATCACTCAATAACTCATATAACTTTTTGCAATGTCAATGCTTTTTCAGAGAAAATGTCTGCATCAGGTTAAAGTAATGATATATGTGGAAAAATCAAGATCTAAAGAAAAGTATATAACTGAAGAGTGTGTATCAATGAGTGAAATCACTTTCCATTTTTTTCTTTTTGCTATAATGAGATTTTTAAATGAGTCACAGTTATGACCCAATAATTTGTCACTGATTCTCTATTCTATCTTCCTGTACTATAAATGCAATCAGGGCATAATTCTAATTTTAAAACCATATTGTACATTTTTTTCCCCAAAACATTCTGCAAATGATCTTCAGCCACTGAAAGAGAATTTTCTATTATTCATTCACTTGTCATTCCTCAAGAACTTACAAAGTGCTTATGACCAGTCTTATCTAATATACTAAGTAATGATTAATAGCTGGAAAACATTCAAGATCCTTTCAAGATCACAATGTAGAAAGTAATCCCGTATGATGATGAATATACTTGGATTTTTGATGTATTCAAAGTTAAGAAAAATACATATTTTTTAACAATTGGGGAAACACTAGGTGTAGGAATGTAACTGCAAATTTCCTGTTATACAGCTTTCAAGTTTGAACAATTTCTCTCTGACATATGTCATTGTTTTATATAGGAAGTGAGAAATTAGCACTTTCGGATGCAAATGATGAAACACTACTTTTAAAAAAAAATCCATTTTCAAATAAACATAGTGAAATTTCATTAATGCTTTGAAAACATTCAAATGGACAATCTAATATTGCCCATTCAAGGTTTTGTTCTGTTTGTTTGCATTTTTTTTTTTTTTTAATGGACTATAGCAAAATTCTCTCATAGTTACAGTGTTGATGCAGGAAAATAGTCCTTGCTCTCGCAATAGTCAGTCTCAATCAAAAGAAAAGCTAGTACATTGTTGTCAATGCATCAAAGTTTTGATCCTACAAAACTTATAATTTCAACTATCATGATCTTGGAAAAAAAGGAGTATTTAATTTGCTGATACACAAAAACGATCTGGAGAAAGCACTAGGCTACATTAATGTACAGTGCTACACTTTAATTCCTTTTGTAGCAACTACATTTAGTTTTTTGTATTTTTGTATGTCTGCGATACACAAGTTCCTGTTTAAGAATTTTGTGCAGAGGAATCCATAGTGGAATGAATCTTATCATCTGCCACATTTATATGCATAGTTATGACAGCTCAGCATGAATGAGGTAGCTCATGCATGAGCTACAGTCAACCTTATGAAAATTGCTACCTCTTCTGATTCATTAATAATTAATCCATTCATTTTGGAAAAAGCAGTGTCTCTTCCACGTGGGAGGGAACAAAATTGGCTGGTGGGCTGTGATCATCTTATCCTGTCCAGGTCACAGTTCATATCAGGACAAAGTCACTGAATAAATAAAAATATCTCAGTGCTTGATTTGAATTATCATCTCTCTGTCCACCCTATACTTCATGTATCCAGCCCACTAAACTCCAAAGATTCTACCATTATTTAGCTCTTGACTGCAGGGTATATACATATACATAAGTATGTATATTTACGTATATATACAAAGATACACATACACACACACACACTAAATGTAGATATAATATGTAATCATGGATAAAATTCTCTCATGTAGATTAAAGTTATTCTGGAAGCACACTTCAAAATTTTCTGTCTCATTTCAGTGGAAATAATTTAGGTATGACGTTTCTTCGCAGAGCCAAGAACATGTGTTTTATTTAGAGCTGCCGATAAAACATAAATTGTTTTCTGAAACTGAACATGCAGACCTTGATTTCAAAGAACAATGTGATTTAGAAATGAAACTACCTTCTCCTGTCTCACTCTGATGATAGATGAAATCTTCTAACCTCAGACCTCCTGTGGGACAAGTGAATTTTGCAGTCCTTGCACTCATCCCTGTTTCTTTGCCTCCCTTTGGCCAAGGTATCAAAACAAGATCCAGGGAAGCCTCTACAGTAATTTTTTGAATGACTCATCCCCTTCACTTCTCCTCTGACACCCTCACCTGCACTAAGGCCAGTGGGAACCTTCTTCCCCCTTTAAAGCGCTCCTCTGCAGCTCAGAAACCTCAACAGCTAATATTTTACGTAGCGGTACAGGGACATCGGCAGGAGTTAGACTCCTAGCTCTGTACACTGGTGAGCCTGGGGGCAGAGGGAGGGATGAAACCTTTGCAGAGAGCTCTAGTTGAGTCCTGAGCTTGCAACTAGAAACAAAGATTAAGATTTGTGCTGTTTTCCACTTGGTCTGCTGCTGTCAATATGTGTGAGCTCTGGTTCTGCAGGCAGCTCGGCAGAAGCTGTAACATTATTCATTAAGAGCATTTAACTTTTTTTCTGATTTAACTGATATAGCTGTCCCCTAGACTTGCCACCTCGGTGGCATCATGGCTGCTTATTCCCCATGTGTTGCTATCTGCATACATTTTTAATGTGAGTGACCTCATTAGCAAAGTGTATTTTTAGCCAGGATTCCTGGGCAAGTGGGCTCTTTTGACCACGTTTTGAGCTGTTTTCTTTCATTCTCTAAAATTTGTGAATGTTTTCTGTTTTCAGCCAAGTATGATAGAGGCCAGGAGGTTGTAAAGATAGTTAATTTTCTTCAAGTTTATGAAAAATATTCAGGTAGGAGAAAGAACTTTGAAATGTGCCAGATGATAGAAAAAACTGCAGCATGAGCTCACCTACTAGATACTGCAGTTCTATATTAGGCTCAAATGTAATAGATGCTCCAACGACATAAAAACGATCAGTGAAACTTGTAATTTATGGGACTCCCAAGGTGTAAGACTTTAGGAAATTGGATTTCACTAATTCTCATGTTCCAAGTTGTGTGGCAGTCTAAGACCATTAAAATCATAATCTAAAAGTAAGTTAGAGTTAAACTTGTATTTAATGCTTCTGATTCACTGGAATCTAAAGGTAATGTAGACCTGAAAAATATTTTAATTTCTCTGGATCTGATAGCTCACCATATTGCAAAACAAATGGTACTACGGTGGCACAACAAATGTGGAAAAGAAACTCAAAATATTTTCTTAAAAAACAAGTGAATGATATTCCTAGGAAATAATGAAGAGAACGTAAATTGTAATCTTCATTCTCTTGCACAAAATTTCCAGTTCATCAGCTCTTTGGCCTTATATTTTTATGGACACAAAGGTGGGGGTTTTCCTACACTTTTAGCTGAAACTCAGGATGAACATATATACAGACAGTCTAGTTTTCCATAAGGAGATTGCTGTGTGCTTAATGAACTTTACCTGGCTTTCAAAAAAAGGCGTACATATCACTCCACCATATTTTACAGAGTATACATTGTCTGTTAAATATTTTTCTTGAATATGCACATACTTGTCAGAACTGAGGATTTTATACATGAACCTTGAGGAGATGTATTTTATTGAATCAGATTTCACTGGAATTGAGAAAACTTATGTAAGCCTACACAAGCCAATATTTCTTCTTATTGTATTGGAAGAAATCCATGATAGGGAGTTTCCATGACAGGGAAATCCAATTGACTTTGCAAGAGACTTTTGAGAGAACTCTGTTGGAATATTTCCCTTGGTTTACTCACAGCAGGGAACTTCTGAGCAATTAGTGAATTTTGTGTGATTACAAGGAACACTTAATGCAGTCCAACACACAACAACAATCTCACTGGTAAAATGCAAGGAGCGAACAAGAATAGAAGCAATATTTGCTGACTGTACTTATTTTTCCTATTGTTTTTTTAGCTATAATGAAAGTGTATGAAGATTTTTTCCTTTACAAAGAGGGAATCTATAGACACTCCCAGAAAGCAGGATCTAAATGGAAAACTCATTCAGTCAAACTGCTTGGGTGAGTAAAACGTATTTTTTTACCCTTTTCTTCTGCCAGTCAGGAATGTAGTAAAATGTCAAAGACCACTTTGGAACCCAACATTTCACCATCAGAGGTGGAGCACTGTTAGCTCCCACCATGAGACTCAGAATTTTAGACAGCATTAGAAAGAGATATAGACGCCTCATTTTTTAATCTACTCTAACATCTGCTCTAAAACTTCAAATATAGTGGTTTATAGAATACAATATTTTGCTGAGTATTCACAAATATTGCATGTACACATCAAGTTGTGAAAAAAACTGACACAATTACCTCCAAACATGCCACCAAACAGGTTGCAAATGGAAACATAAAGATTGCCAGTGGTATCCTAATTAACAAGCACAGCTTACTGACACACAGCAGTCTGGGCTGTCTACACTCCAAACAGAAATCTACTGCTGCTGGGATACTGCTGATTTTATGTGGGATGCGCAAGGAATATACACCCAGGACTGAAACTGCTGCCGAAGAGTGTGTATAATACACTAGTGGATTTCCCCTCAAATGTAGATCAGTGCCACTGTGTTAAGATGACAAGTATCTAATGACACTAAATCTAACTACACTCAAATTACAGAACACACCACAGGGCTTTATTCTTTGACATGGAGGGAATACACAAGTATGAATTTATTAAATCACCAAGTGAGGAGTTACACAAAGAAAGGACTGGAGAGTCTCAAACAAGTGTTTTATAGGTGATCTAGAATATCAAATAAATAATGATTCAGGCTCGTGCTAGGAAGATTACTGAGAGTATCTATGACGTAGTTCAGGAAAATAAAGTTATGAAATAAAGTACATTCAGTGTTTGTGATCTTAATGAAGATATAAGAAGAATTACCCATCCTTTCATTTTCTAACGCATAAGTGTTTTGACCTCCATGATTATGCCATATAAAAATATTTACAGATGTGTTTAACTGTAAAAATTGAATTCAAGTTTGACAAATTTGAGATTGTTTGGGCCCAAGGCTAGATGTACTTGAATTTCTAGAAATTATAAATCCAGTCATAAAATGTGATTCTGCACCATGAAGTCTAAAAAACTTTTTTGTATAGATGTTTATGTCTTCAGGATTAAGCTATCACTTTTTTCATATCATTCATTAGTTTGAATTAATTTGAATGTAACATATGTGGCCCGAATATAAGTTCTGTGTCACTCACATATCACTTTGGTGGGTTTTATTTTGAGAAAAGGATAATGCAAACTCCTTACCCTAAATAAAATATTCATAAGAATCTCATTAAAGTTGGACTTCAAATAAAAATATTAACGATTATTTGCATTCTGCATAGCTGAGATGGTTCCTGGAGAGAGAAAAATGAGCACAGACATACTGACATACAGGGTAAAAAATGCAGTTTTGTGTAGGCTGATGTTTATTGCAGTCTGATATTTTTATTTATAACCCCTTCTGTAAAAGAGATTCAATATTTCTAAAAGGCAGCCATGATAATGAATGATCATATTGAACTGATATTTGTAATCTCTTGGAAATGTTTTTGAGAATGCCTTAAACTGTCCTTGAATTGTACAACATATAAAGTAATGGAGTCATAAAATGGAAATAAATTTTGGTAAAGCTTGCAAGAGATATTTGTACAAAACCAGAAATGCACATATAAACTACCTAATTGATCATAAGGATTGTAAATGCATTGATTGATTTTCCTTGTTCTGCAGCTTGAAATTTTTAGTTATTTTCTATCTTTTGAAGGCTTCGTATTTATAAAACCAGCTCCAATAGGACTATAAGTCTGTCTCCAGTGAGTTACTGTGTGACCTCAAGCTCAGGGAGAGAATGGGAGAAGACAGAACAGCATGGAAGCAGGAGAGGAAAATGTGGAACAGCCAGGTGGAGGGTGTTGTGGGTAGCAGACCATTTGGGTTTGATCGCGGTCTCTATGGACAGTGAAACAGGGCTTTCAACAATCTGAAGGCAGGATAGACTGACCCCACTGACATTTAGAGAGAGAAGGATCTCTCAAGCAGTTTTTGTGTCTATATTCCAGAGACAGGGAGGTAAGCAGAAAAAGTGAATAACAGAGGCTGGGATTCATAACAGCTAGGTTTTGATTTGTAAAAGTTAGATTCCTGTGTCTCTGTTAGGCAGCCATGGTTCCTTTTATCTTCCATGGTTATTCATCTTCTCTCTCCAAGGCATGTATCTTTAGGTGAATTGAGTTCATAGAATCATAGAATGGTTGGGTTGGAAGGGACCTTAAAGATCATCTAGTCTTCAAGCTCATCTAGAATTGCTTTGTTGGATCTTATTTATCTTTGCTGGCTATAAAAAATTTATAGGGTAATACCAGACTTACATAGTTAACATTAAAATGTCTAGGTTAGACTAGAGGAATCCCACTTGTAATGACATCATAAAGTAGCTTAAAAACAAAACGATTGTGTGACTGTTACATAATAATTATATTAAGATAGTATCTTCAGAATGTCTTGCATATCTATTTATGTATATGTATACACACACATACATATATCTACATATATATACATACAGTTACAGCTATTAATGACATCAGAATGAAGAAAGCTAAAGAGGCATAATGAAACTGCAAATGATAAGTGATCTAAGGCAGACAAATTTGTCAAAGTTTGGTAACTCACTTTTTCAGCTGCAGTGTTATTTCAAGAAGCCTCATGACTGAAAAATGACATGTGAAGCTGTCATCTTTATTTCAAGATCTCTTAATAATAAAAGTAGACTGAATTCACATCAAAGATGAACTTGGTAGCAGATTTATCTCTCAGATCTATACATTTAAGCTAGAGTTGCTGAACAAACCTGTCAAATCTATTCTGTAGTAGATTCTCCGTAAAATTGGTACTTTTTTTTTTTTTTTTTTAACTCTTTTCCTTCTACTTCTCTGGCTTTCTTAGTTCCACCTAGGAAAAGATGACAGAAGACAAATGTAAAGCCTTGAGTAGCCTGATCTAGTTGAGGGGCGTCCCTGCCCATGACAGGGAGGTTGGATTAGATGATCTCTAAGGTCCCTTCCAGCCTATGCCATTCTATGATTCTATGGACAA